GGACCAGGTGGAAAGCCAAGAGCTTTGCGCTGCTCTAACCAGCAGTGGGTGACAGCAGCCACCTTGCACTGGCACAAGCTGCTGCGGCACTCCGAGGAAAGGGCAGGCCAGCACCACTGAAAGGACATGCAAGCTTGTGAAAGAGGATTTTGGGGGAGAGACGCTCCAGAGACAGGGCTCTTCTGCACATTCACATCAGTTTACTTTTTGATTTGGCTGCCATATCCCTCCTGAAAATTGTCCAGGGGTGGCAAGGCAGGAGTTGGCAATGGTGCAGGAAACCACTGCCCAGTACCCTGCCTGCTTGCCTGTAACCCCCTTGCAGGCAGCACGGTTCTCCGGCCCCCTCCAGTGGCTACAAAACATGCAGAGGAGTCAGCTACAGCCTCCGAGGCCAGCAGGATTCAGGCTTTTGCAAATCCAGTCCCTGCTCTTTGCTGCATAGAGCAGTACTCCCCCTTCCCGTGATGAGGTAAATAATTAGGCAGACAGCCATGCTCTTGCACTGGAACATCTTTATTCAGCTACACATGGATCCAGGCCCACCACAGATATCTCCTATCTGCTCTCAGATCTGATCTTGCTGCTGTGCACAATAATTTTATGCCGGACAAAATCAACAGACCACTGATGAGCTCTAATTGAAGCGGGACTCTGTCACCTCAACTCTGTCCTGGGCAGGTTCTTACACTGCTTTCTTTACTGGAACAGGAATGGCTAAAGAGGTGCTGTATCTCAAAGGCTGGTTTTGGTGTAAAAAGTGCTTTATTTAACTTTGGGGACGGGAAAAAAAAAAACACTTCAACCCAACAGATGCTGTTCCTCTGCCTTTTGCAAAACTCCCAAAGAGCAGGAAATTATATTTGGGTACCAGCATTTCATGCTCTGGAAATCCCCTATAGCAACAAAGACAAGAAGAACGCCCACATGAAAAAGACTGCTTTGGATCTGCTTTGCTTATTCCAGATCTGTTTTGGTTCTTTAACCATTTTCCAAATCTTGTTATCCTATACCCACCCAAGCTTACAGCAAGGCCACACAATGCACATTTTATATATTATGCACAAATATAATAGGCATTCTTCAATATAGGGGATGTACACTGCAGAAATGTTTAAGTTCCCACCCATGACTTCACGATATGCATGTTGTTCATTTTATCTGAGCATGCCCCATGGACAACATGAAAAAGAATACCTTTACAAAAGAGAATGCTTTGCTACATAGGAGGAAATGGTGAAGTCCGAGTTAAGGCAAAAACAAATGCTATTTATATAGCGTGAAGATATATAATATGTACATACTACTCAGATTTCATACTGGAAGACTGTTGTTTCTTGGGTTTAAAAGGACAGGGACAGCTAGAGGATTTAGGTTTTGGCCCTACAGGACAGGACACTAAGGTCTATGAATATCATCAATCTATTTTGAGATTCATTATTATCTCTCTACAATTAAAATTCCAGATCTTCTAAGTCTGTATATTAAACTACTTCACTTAGGCAAAGCTGGGTTTATGTAGACTCAGCAACCAATGTCCATAGGGACTTACTCTAACAGTAGGCTTTGCACTTACGGCTTAATATTATGTGAGTTGTCCCCCTGAGTCAGACTCCCTTCAGGCCCTTAAGCCAAAAGAAGGACCATCCAGGTTTAAGAGAGACCTTTACAGGAGGCACAGTCCCTCAGTTAAGATGGGAGTTGGATGGGTAGTCCAGGCAAAATGTCTCCTGCACTTCAAAGCTTTGATTCTGCAAATGTCCAAGTGATTGATGAACTTCAAGCTTGTTTGCTATTGGGTTGGGAGAACCATCCTTTGACCCGTGGATCAGGGGCTGGAGATATCCATGGTCAGAGGAATCCATTGGACACCACACCGGTTGGATTTGAAGACCCATGTAGTCCTTCAAGCTTGAGGTCAAAAGAACTACTCATACATAGAAGTTCAGCGCACTGTTGGAGCACCATGATCATCATATCTCAAATTATAAATAAAGAATGGTAAACTAACAGAGGTCAAAGTCCCCACCCCCAGCATGGCTTGAGCTTGCCAGTGGGACCCACAAAGGAATCATATCAGTACCAAGTATTGATTCTGTACATGGGAAGAGGGTGCTCTTCTCAATTTCACGCACATGGGAGCTATGGTTCTGGGAGAGAGCGCGGTTGCTAGACTGGTCAGGGTGCCACTGGCTGGCTATCCATAAGCGTGTTGTAGGACAGTGTCAGTCAAGGGCACAATGGTCAACAAATGAAATACTGAAAGCATGAAAATTGTAACAGGTCATCTGCAGAGGCTTAGCTTTAACTAGATACTCGAGTTACATCAGGCACTGTGTTAATCATGCCCATAACAACTAAATTCTCCGAATTTCTTTGGGCCACCCTCCGTCATCCACACCGTGGCATTTCACCATAGCTCATTCCAGGTGGAGCCAGCTCTCCCCAGAGGAGCATATGCCTTCCGCATCCACCCTACTACCTTCTCCCAAAAGGCACTAATGTGTGACCAGTTTGCAAAACTGTCTGAACAAGTAAAAATCAAGGGGGAAAAAGTCGACCCAAAGAAGCTGTTGCCATTGCATTTTCTCAAGACAACCTCCCTCATTTTCTGCTTCTACACTGGAGCTAAAGAGTATGTTCGGCCCGTGCTCCTGCAAAACATTATGGTTCCACCAGCAAGGTGACAAGAGACTTTACAACCTGTTTGCATCTTTCAGGCATGTTAACACTTCTATAAAGCAAGCGCACAACTATCAAGCAACATGCTCATGGCCTGCCCTGGCCTCCAGCATGGTGAAAACCTAAACCATCTGCAAGCCTGAAAAGGAAACGGTGCAAAACTGCTGCCTTCTCACCTTGAAAGCATGCCTACAGCTACACATCCTTGCCATTATATCTCACCTGATGAGAGTTTTGAAAGTATCCTTTGCTTTGGTATCTGAGCACTGAGTGTAACCACCACACTTCAGCCTGTTCTCAGCAGTGCAAATTTTGCCACCTTATCCTAAAATCAGTGAGCGGAGCAATGTAAGGGGCCAAGTGGACCTTTCAGACCTGGCCATGGAACTGAAATAACAGGAAACAATCAGGGACTGCATTTTTCCTACCCTTCCTCCTTCTCTGAAAGCATCTTGGAAAGGCACATGTTCTTCAGCAGATAATAAAACATACAAGGAAGTCCATCGTTGCTTATTGAACTCCACCCTAAACACATCCCATAGCGGGATAACCAGAAACTGAACTATGATTTTGCATTCATGTATGCCTCTGGAAAAAGAACATTTTGTAACTAGCGTCAAGACCTATGGGGCAAGTCCATGGGGCGAGTCTATGGGGCAGCCCTGAGGACCTACTCCTATAGAGGCAGGATAACCAGGGCTGTCAGCCAAAGGCATTCAAAGCCAAAATACAAGGTAGCTTAAACAACCCCACTTCCCTGTTACTGCAGCAGGTCAAGGAGAAGAGCGACCAGAGCTAGACCCCGTTCCCAGGAGGGGTTGTCGTACTGTCCTTGCCATCCCATGCTTAACTCAGCTCTCAACAACAGGTCCCTAGGCACTAATACCATACAATAAATAAATCGCCAACATCTTTAGGATCACATCTGGAAAAATACCCTTGCCAACTGCAGGAGCATGGGAAGAACATCTGGCAAAGAAAAAATCAACTTATAACACAGGGACTAGAAAGAACTTGAATCGGTAAAGTAAAAGCAAGTACCAATTATCACCTGAGTTTTTACCCAAGATCCTGAGGGACCATCATCTCTGTCTTTCTCAAGTTGCTATTTTGACAGTGTTTCCTATACAATGACTACATCGCTACCTTGAAGGAGCTGGCTGACCCTGAGATCCCAATGAAAGGCTGTTGACTCACTGCAGAATGACACTCTTCTGTGAGCTTGTGACATGAAGGTAAACAGCAGTGTAGAGGCACTGGAAATCAAAGGAGCCCAGGCTGCTGGATACAACACTGCATTTAGAAGCACATAACCTCCTAACTTCAAGAAAAGACAAGAAGTCCTTTCTTCTCCCTTTTCCACAATGCCGGTAAAGCAGTATGCAAACAAAAAGACCTGTTAAGTGGATCTGGAAGGGTTTTCTCTGGTCATACTGCCACCGTGGGATATGGAGTAAAAGGTAGGTAGGAACTTCTATCTCCATGTGCTGTGCATTGTCAGCTACTTTACTGGGCCTTCAGTAAAATCATAATCACTGCAATATTGTAAGCAGGCAGTCTAGACATCATTTTGGTGTCTTTTTCTTCATAATCACAGAGATATATTCACAGGCAGTGCATCAACTACCATCCAGCACAGCAACACAACAGTTTAATTTAGCAACCCCTCCACTGTTGCTCCTGATAGCTCTCAAATATTCAAACCCATTTTACAGTGAACAGATTAATTTAGCCACTGGTTTTCCAAAAAGTACCCTAGAAATTTTTCAGGTTCACATGCTGGCTTCATCTGAGTATCACAGTCTTTGTCCCACCACCACTGCAGTGGCGACTGAACCATAGGGATCACATCCCCACAACAGGCTGTGTAGCTATCAGTTTCCAGAGGTGAAACTACCTTTTCCTCTTCTCTCCACGTTTTCTCATTCGTGCTATGGCCGTGGTCATGAGACTTGACCCAGTCCCAGGCAGTCGGGAGGAGGACTGGCCAGCCCCTGCCTTGTCCATCACAGTGCTGGAGGGAGAGCCAAGCTGCCACAGCAGATCTGGTGCTCTATAGAAACGACTCAGACAGGATAGGATTACATATTCTGCTACTCTCCCATCTGTGCAATGGGGCCTCTACACAAAGAAAGCCAAGTCAGCAGCTACCTTGCAGCATGTAGAGACACGGATACAATTCTCCAAGTAACACACAGCACTGGACAGGAAACTTGATGCATTTCACGCCAGAAGAGGACAGAAGAAAATACACCCACTTTTACAGCAGCAATCACAAACTCCATAGGGAAGAGAAAGGCCAGGTACTGACGGCAGAAAGAGAACAGTGCTGTTGTAAAACCCTTACAAGGCGCGGAGACACTCCCTTGTATGCTATAGGAAGAGGAAAGGCTCGAGCACGGACACTTGCCCCACACAGAAGTTCCACTGAGACCCAAGTTGTGTGTAACACAGAGCAATAACAGAGGTAGAGTCATAACAAACAGACATATGCTAACAGCTATAGGGGATATATTGTATTTGCTCATGTAACAGCCACACACGCTTACTGGCCTCATCACCCAACCAGTTGCAAACAAGAGATCACCAGTTAGATAACTGGTAGCTTAAGAATAGACACACAAAATCACTGCACCCTAAATTTGGAGGGGAAAAATCACAGGGGCAGGGAATTATGTGAACTCCATGAGCAATACAGTATTTCACTGTGGGGGAAGGGTTAGGATTGGCACCTGGCTTTATCAGCGCACTCATTTACCAAATCAAACTGTCCCGGAAAGCAGCCAGTTGCCCTTTAACTGTGTTCATGAAGTAAAAATTGTTTAATGGGGTCTGGGATTGGAAGGATATGGATCAGATCCAGACGAGATTTGCCAAGTATTCTTCGTACAGCTATGCGGCAGAGAGACAAGAGGCTCCGGGTGCGGCCTGCAGTAAAGAAAGCAGAGAAAAACTATTGAGGGACAGAGAGAGGAAGAGAGAGGGATAACAGCGAGTAAATTGTGCTGAAATCTGGCTGACAGCAGAGGAGCCATTTACCCCTTCCAAACGCCAAGGCCACGTCCTGCACAGCAACACAAAGGCAGCACAGGAGAGCTGCGCATGCACAAATCCTCCCTGCGAGGAGGCCAAACCTTTTGGCCAAAGACTTGCAGCAACAACAGCTGCCACATGGGCAGTTTGGAAGGGCAAGCTGGAGACTGCATGGGGTTGTGACCATGGAGCCAGTCCCTGCATGAGAGGGTTCAAGAGATCACTGCCAAATCCACACCAGGGGAGGCTGTGAGAGGCTTTATACTATTCGGATCACTTTAAAATAATGTGGATTTTACTTTTGCTCTAAACCACCCCCTGGGAAACAACAGCATTGACGGTCAGCTCAGGCCTTATCCCAACTTTCTTTTGAGGGCTTCTTTTGAGTTCATGGAAAGCTCTTCCAGCACAGGGACAAGAGAATGGTGGTGTCCATGTTGATTCAGGAACTGGACCTCCAAGGCACCACTCCATTATCCTGCATGCTCTACCTGAGGAGTCCCATTTGCCTCCTAAACCCAGGCTTAATGGAAACCACCTGCTCCAGCTTATGTGTGCCTCTTCTCAGCAAAAGTCCAGGCAGGTTTAAAAACCAGGCACGTGCAAAACTGTATAACTTTGGGGTGGGGGCTGGGGGTTGTATCCCACATCCTGAATCCCTTTCAAATTTCTCTGGAGTTTGAGAGGGAAACCCCACTTCTGACCCTGGTGCAAAGCCCTGGCCTTCACCAGCTGAGCCTGGTGGTTTTACGAGGGGCTGCCCTTGCTGGAACAAGGGTGCACACTGTATTGATGTTGCTTTTGTTACCAAAAAGAAACAAATAGCAGGTAAATTCAGGTATGTTCAGGTCTGAGTCTCTGGTTTACTTCTTTTGTAACTCATTTTCTTCCCAGAGGATGTTAAATGCAAAAAGCCAGCTTTTTCCCCACCTTTTCCACCAGCATCTGAGCTCGCCCCTGCCATTTGCTACAACCATTTGTAACTTTACTTCCCAAGTAGCCTGTCCAGATACAACTACCTCTTGGGTCCCTCCCTGGGCACCCCTGCAGAGCACAGGGTCACTCAAGAACAGTGAGGGCACATCTGCATGGCTTCGGAGAACTGGGTCTCACTGGATATGCCATAACCTGCCTGTGGTTTGCAGACCTAAAGCCCAGCTCTGATAGGACCCCACTGTCTAAACCTTGCCTCAGGCTGCTGAGGACATGGTTAGGCAATGGAAAAGAGCTGGGAGAAAGATAAAAAAGGTAAAGTTACAGACAGAGGTTGGGGTGCTGAGATAGGCATCACTGGTAGCTGAAGGACTCAAGAGGGAAAACACCACGTGAACGTACAAAATGCAACAGGAGAAAAACAGGGAGTCTAGCTGGAGGCTTATGGGGAAGCCATTGGGTTGAGTCATCAGTGTTGACAGAGCCGGAGGCAGGCAGCCGCTCAGCAACACTGAGGATCACGCCAGGGAGCCGCAGAGGCCAGCCCTAGGGTCCTCTCCTGCCTGATGCCTGCCTGGCCAGCAACAGCTCTTTGGGAGCCATGTGAGGGGTGGTGAAGTCATTAACGCTTAGCTTAACAGCTTGTTAAATCCCAGTTATCTTTTTTGTGTGCTAGAATTGCTTTACACTTTTAAGTTAGGTATAACCTGTTTACACAATCTTTTTGCACTTGGCTGAAGGCACCTGAACAAACAGACCCAAAGAGGATGGTAACACCCACCCTACCACCTTAACAGCTCCTAACTACCAAATAAACTCTCCAAAGAGTTATCTTGAATCCAGAGCAAGATAAAACCAGCGCCACTTCAGTAAGTCAAAGCCACTTACCCCTTGCTTCTTTGAACACCTGCAGAGCCTCAGGGTTGACTTTGACCCTTCCCGTGGATTCAACTCCCAAGGCCTCCACTTTCACCAGGTTCAGATTGGCTCCAAAGTCAATCAAGAGGTGGACAAATGCTGCTTCACAGCCATGCCGCAGGACAGCGTCCATCACACACACTGGGGAGCCCCGGGAGAAGCCTTGGATGTTGATGGGCCCGCAGCAGTTAAAATCCGGGTTGGCTCCTGCCTGGAGCAGCAGCTGGAAGCACTGGAGGTTGTGGTAGGCGGCGCTGATGTACAGTGGGCAGACCACCAGCGTGGTGAGGGGTCGCAGGGAGAGGCTAGGGACCCGGGAAGTGAGGTGGTGATTCACGTCCACGTCTGCGCCGTACCTGGATGGGTGAGAGAGAAGAGCAGAGGTTTGGAAACAAGGGCAACAGCACCCCAGGGAGACAAAATGGCAGGGGGTGAGGCTGAAGGACACCCAGAGGGTGAGCACCCTGCCTGTCTTTGGTACCTCTGGGGCCCACCACCCAAGAACCACCCATACCTACCCTGAGAGGGGCCTTGCAGGGCTTCTGAGCGGGGATGCCGTATCCAGCACGGTCTGATCTTCAAGAAGCAAAGCTGTTTCTCTGCCCGCAACAGCCCAGGCTCGGGAGAGAGCAGCTGAGGAACATCTTTCCTTGCCCTCCTGAAGGATGTGGCAAGCACAGCCTTGGCACAAAGGACAGCTCAGCCCTGAGCCAGCACCACGTAATGTTGGATACTAATGAGCTGGCTGGGGAGTGGGGATGTTTCCAAATGACTCATTTGAAGATATGCAGTGAAATAACTTCCCCACCAGGATAAAACAGGCCAAAAAGCAATACAGGCAATTGATCTGACTGTCACAGACAGCAGGGAAAATGAAACAGAAATCTGTGCATAACAGCAAAACGTGTATGACAAAATCCTGCTCCCGAAGGAACTGGGGTGGTTGAAATCCCATCAGAAATCCCATCAGGGAGTCAAAAAGAGGCCTTTTCCCTAGTATTCAGCTCAGCTGAAGGGATGCACCCACCAACTCTCAGCACGTAGGAAACTGGAAAAACACAAAATAATTGCGTCAGACCTTCCGCTCTCCCTGTCCATCCTGCACAGCTCCATTCACAGGTTGTATATTGTACTAGATACTGCACAAGAGATTACAGTTCACTGGCCAGCACTCCAGGTGCTGAAGGGTAAACCTCAACGAGCTGCAGCAGCAAACCTCTCAAGCCTTCTGCAACTGGCTCATGCCTCACTCTACACTACAGAGAAACCCATTCCTCACATCTTCGCCGCGTGGTGCCATGGTGTCCCAACTGCTCCATAAGCCCTGCGGCCAGAGCAAAGTGGGCTGAGGCTTGCTGTGGCGTAGAGAAGGCGTGTGAACAGGCTAAAGCCCTGCTCAATGGACACCAGCATTGTCATCAAACAGAAGCAGTGCCCGCAGCATACTTCTTTTTGGGAAGTACAGATGGCACTAAGTTGTGAACAAACAGAAAACAAGGCTTATTGGCTTTGGTTCCTTTCATTTTTTTGGAGGAAGTAAAGAATGCGGCCAAATAAATGGGAGCAAAAAGGCCAACTGTTGCTCTCTGGAAAAGCATGGAATTTGAAAAACGGCAATGCTGCAGAAAGAAGAGATGGCAGAAATAAGCACTTATTTCCCCCAGGCTGGGTAACACCCAAGCAGTGGGGACGCTAACTCCATCTACTTCACATGCAACTTGGACAGGAACAAGGAGGAAGACAACGCAATCCCCTAAGGAGTAGCTGGTTTTAATTGCAGCATTGCATATCAAGCAAAGCCTTGTCCCTTCTCCCCACAGAGGGATAAAAGGTTCCTTCACCCGCCAGTCCCCCTCCTAAAATTGCAGACTAAGCATTCAGAGAACTAGATTTTTTCTATCTTCCTAGATAGCATTATATTCCTTTCTGCAGTTAATAAAACAAATAAGGAAACCACCTGGGGACAAATTCTGCCTCAAGGCAAGCACAGCTCTTGCTGAACCCAGTAGGGACTGGTCCCTATCCAGCACATACTTAACCAAATGCTTCAATTCTGAGGAAAGGAATAGTCTCATTTAAATTAAGCACACACAGAACAAGGGCCGAGGAAACTTGTCTAAGAGCTGCAAATGGCATGCAATGTATTTGTACCCCAATGCACAAGATCTCCCAAGCATGAACATCTTGGCTGAGATCTCAGGAGACCTGTGGGGTGGAGAAATGAAGAAAAAGGATGGAGCTAGGCAGTAACAACACTGCTGAGTGTGAGCTGGTCCTCGCACCAGCCACAGGACCAAGCTTTGCTTCCCAGGCCAGGCAGCTGGCCCAGGGATTACTGCAAACTAAGGGGACATTCCCATCTTTTGGAGACTTCCACAGCACTTTGCTGAATCTGCATCACTTCACCTATGTTGGAGCACAGAGGGCTAAATAAGAAAAGGTGTCTGTTCTAGACAATCGCACATATTCCCTGTAGATAAACCTCTTAAAATCAGACTACATGAGCATTTGGATAGATTCATCTGTGCTGCTGCGGGACTTTCACAGGGCTGTTGTATGGCCACTGCCTCTAATGGCCATGTTCCTGACCAGACAGCACGTACCCCTTCATTTCAGTCCTTTTTTTTCATTATTGTCATCAAAATTCTTGGTGGAAACCCCCAATTCAAAGCAAAATACAAAATTCTGCTTTTATCACAGTTAGGCATGCACCTGCGGCATTGGGATGATTTGTCAGATCTCTTTTTCACTGTTTTTAGTGTGGCAAAAGGATCCTCTTGTCCTTAATACACTGGATCAGCCCTCAGTTACACTGCCAGTATAATGTAGCAGTTCGATCCCATCGCAGCATGATCACATCACAAGCTCGTAGGAAAGTAATCTATACCCTGGCAATATAACCATAAATATTTCCGCCAGCCGTCTTATAAAACGGATCGCCATTCCATAGCTATGTGTGTATTTACTATTAACGGATACAATTTCACCTATTGCTTGGTTAGCTGGTTCAGCAATTGTGGTAGGATTCAGGAATCCTGATTGTGCTACCATAAGATTAAAAAAAAAAAAAAAATTAACCAGATGATGTTTAGACACCTGCAGCAAGCCTGAACTGGGTTGGGCTTTCTTTTCAGGACACTGAGGCTCTCTCAAGCTGAATATGCTGAAATATTTCCTTATATCTCAGTAAATGTGTCTTCCTCATCGCATTCCCCCTGCCAAATCCTTTAAATCAACATTTTAAAAATCTCTGAGTGAGCTTTGTAACGTAAGACTGCATTTTAAAGTAAGCAACTCTGAACAGATCTGTGAAATCCGTACTCCGAGATATTTGAAATTTTGGGCAATCTGACAACTTGGTATTAGCTTAGCAGCCTTGGGAGAGACATTGACTAATAAAAAGATATTGGACAAACTCCAGTTAATTTTTAATCCTGAAAGTTTTCCAAAATCTTGCTTTTAATGTTGATGGCAAGGTATCCCAAGGAGTAGACACATAAATCAATGCATCAGCTCTCCATGTGCTGCTGAAATACCATTTGCTGCATTTCACCCTGCCTTAGTGGATATATCAGGGGAGATTCTCAGGAATGCAGCATGTGAGCTGAACCCTGTACCAACAAGCACGTGGCGATGGGGACATCCTTCTCTCAGCTGCTGAGAAAGGAGCAAGGAGGGGAGACCGTCTCTCCTTCTTTCTACTTGCCAGCTTCCTTAAAGCTGCACTTGTATGAAAATTAACTTCCCCACAAGCAAAAAGGAAAGGAGAGAATCCCCAAGTATTTTGAAATTTTTCTATTCAAATCCTTTTGGTTGTTATTTTCTAGCATTTGCAGTCATTGAAGGGATTCCTTGGAGACTGTTTCTGTGTGAATCCAAATAAACTTTCTTCTCTTTTACTGTATTTCTTTCTACAACCTACATTTTGCCCTTACGATCCCTTATTATTTGGTGTCAATGGCCCATATAGTTGCTCAGCATGGTCCCTTATACAAAAAGCTTCCAATTTAGAAGAAAGCAGGTATCATGGCACGCCACAGAGAAAGAAACTCAAGTTTGCACAGCCTACTGCTAGACCTTGAGCCCACTCACTGCTGGTGCTGCAGAGGAAGTTTCCCGAGGGATAGGTCACCAGGCACACACCACCCAGCTAAGGTTACTGTTCATCACCTCATAGTGATGGCTGTCACTCCCTGCCCCAGAGATGCTACCCCTTTGATGGAGCTGTGCATCAGGTATCCAGCAAGGGGAGACTGAATCAGATGCCACGGAGGGTGTCCTAGTAATGGGCAAAAGCCAGGCAGCCAAGAACAGACAGTGCCAGTGACAAGCATCACTCTTTCCAATGACAGAGAATGGTCAGAGCAGCAAAGCTACACAAAGGAGAAATACGTTTCCAAACAATTTTTGGTTCGCTGGAGGATCCACCTCACTCATAAATTCAGCCAGGGGCATGGACCTGGCAGTCGAGATGGAGGCAGGGGGGGAAGATACTTTGCAAGATTTGGCTCTGACTGAATAGTGGATGGTGGGCTCAGAAACGGAGACTCCTCTCTTGGGCTTTGTCTTAGGAGAACAGTCACGGGAGTCACACAGCAGGGCACAGACCTGTTGCCAGGGCCAAGCAATGGGGAAGACAAGGATGTCCCTTTGGGCACCTCTCCACCCTCTCTCCTCTCCATCTCTTGGGCAGCTTCACCAGGCCTGTGGAGGCACTGGGCACGCGAGGAGGGAACAGATGCTCCGAGCCCCATGGGGGAAAGATACCAAGGGAAGAAGAGAGGGAGGTAGAGCCACTTATCTCCCGCCCAGGACCATCTCCAGCCTGCACCCGAGCTCTCACCTGATCAGCTCCCGGAGGATGTCTGCCCGGCCCACACGTGCCGCGTGGTAGACAGGGGTGCTGCGGTGGTGCCGGCTGCCATTGGGGTCAGCCCCAGCTTCCAGGAGGATCTTGGCACACTCGAGGTGCCCGTTGACCACAGCCACGTAGAGGGCGGTCTGCCCCTTCACGTCCACCAAGTCGATCTCGGCCCCTTTGCGGAGGAGGAAGTCGACGCAGGGGCCGTGGCCAGCAGTGGCGGCGATGCGCAGCGGCGTGCAGGGCAGCCAGCCGCAGCACCACACTGACTTCTCGTTGATACGGCTGGCATCAGAAGGGAGAAGCGTTGGGTCAGAGAAGACCTCCTGCCACCTTGCGCCACCCCACCTCCCCCAGCCCTGGAGGAGGATGCTGGGAGAGCCCAGCCAGCTCCTTTGAAGTCTTCCTCCCCATTTTTGACACTTTATAGCAGGCCTGAACAGCTCCTACCAATAACCTGACTAGGCGCTGCATGTAGGTAGCCAGAGACTATGGCATGTACCGGAGCAGTGCCTGGAAGATGGGCTTTATCGCAGCTCTGCCGTGTCAGGAGCTGCACATATGCACCGTGAGGGACAAACCCTGCCTCAAAACTCAGTCAAGATTACCAATAAAAAAAAATAAAACACTCCCTTTTTACAGGGAAATGTCCCAAATCAGAAGTGACCAAGCTGGGGACCACAACCATTTAATTCAAGCTGCTCCAAAAGGGGCAGAAGGTTGTCAAAGCAGCAGGGAAACAGCAAGAGGACATGGGAGGAGGGGAGCAATGTACGGACATGCAGGCGTACATCCATATCACACCACTGGCAACATCCACACTCAGCCAGGCACCATGGGATGACATAAACACAAATCCAGGGAAACTCAGCCCTGCCAGCAAGGAGTAGGCTTGGGAGGTGCGGCCATCCTGCACTGAACAGCATAAGTAGGTCATTAGCATCCTTGTTGGATGGCTGTACTGGCATAAGAGCCTCTTCCAATTTATAGAAGACATGGCTCTGGCTGGCAGCTGCTTAGACCTCCTCTGAAATCACCTGTATTAGTTGTCATGCTCATCCAGGTCTCAGGTTAGCCCTACAAATCTCACAAACATCCAGACCTCACTCCCAAATTCTCTGCAAATCACTGCGGGTACCATTTTAGCAGAAACACGCAGAGAGGAAGGGATTTCTTTAAGGCAAATGTAGGCTGGCAAAAGTGCTCTTTAACCAGCACAGCAGTGGATTTGCTCTTCTAGCTCACTCCATGCAGGCCCATGTAACTGGTACAGGACAAAACAGTTTTTATACAGTGCATTTACAGAGTTTGCTAGGAGAACAATGCCACACAATTTTTTTTCAACCATGTTTTAGGAAGAGGAGTAGTATAAACCCCACATCAAGCCCTTAGCTGTCAAGTCTTATGATAAAAGTGCTCTCTTTAACCTTGGAGGTTTGGGGATCTCCATCCCATACCTACCCCCAAATTCAAAGAAGTCACTTCTCTGTTCACTTCACCACCTGTGTGATGGTGCTGCAGGTCCAGCCCTCCTCGTCCCGCCGAACTCTGCTTTTTCCTGCAAGGAAGGATGCCTGGCCCTGCTGCCACAGGGTTCCCGCACAGCATGGGACAAAAATAAGGCAAAAATCTCAGACCAAGGGACCTGAGAGCCCCAGCTGCTCAGGTGGCAGAAAGAGGGGTTGGGTCATTCTCATTTTTGCTGAAAGGACACTCTTCTTGAGGCTGGGAGACATTTTGCACTCTAAGCAGTTTTCTCCATGGTGCAGGAAAATTAATTAACTATCCTCATGGTCACAGACTTAGCACTGGGCAGATTTTGTAACATAGGGTGTTTCAGGTTTATATTCAATTGTAATCCCTTTTGTATGTTTTTCCCATTATATGTAGGCTCCTATTTTCATGGTATTACATTTCCACTCTGATCTGAAAAGAGCTCATGCGCGGCTGCCGCACGCTTGCGAACTGGCTTGAGATTTGCCTCCTGGGAGACCACGGGGGATGATTTCAGGGGCGAGCGGAGCATCCTCCCAACTTGACACCTCTCCTGTAAAAAAATGGAGCAGGATGGGGTCTCCAGAAGGAGCAGGCTGTGGGGAGATGGGTGTGGGGTGAGCAGCCCCAGGGAGCCACTAGCCAAAATCGTTTAAGCAGGACCTCGCACCCTTGTCCCCGTGAGGGTCTCCAAAGCCAGCGTGAGGGTGCGGGCAGGGTGGGGTGTGAGAAGCCCCCCTCACCTTTGGAAGCTCTCCTCTTGCAGCAAGCTCTTGAGGGTGGGCAGGTCCCCCACGTAGGCCGCATCGTGCAGCCGGGTGTCCTCGCAGTGCTCAATGGGGTGGTCGCAAAACTGCTCCCGCAGCCACTCCTTCAGGTTACGACCTGCGCTGGAGAGAGACGGGGGGAGCCGGGCTGAGCCCTGGATAGAGGCTGCCCGGGGCGGCGGGGAACGGAGAGGCTGTCCCGTCCCTTCCCGGCACATAGGCGAGCCCGAAAGGAGCCCCGGGGACGGCGGCGGGCCCACAGCGG